CTAGTCAGCCTATCTAGAGGTCTTTGTTTTAGGAGAGTCAGCTGTTTCTCATCTAGCAGTAATCAGTTGTCAATATTACTTTGGATAAGATTGGGGTCTGCTATTCATTTTCCCAGTTCTATGCTAGGTTACTATCTGGGAGTCCCTTTGGCCACCCTGGCCAACAACTCAAAAGAAGATATCTCCTATCTGGCATTGTTGCTTGTTATGTAGCCTTTAGCTATGCATATCCACATTATTTTTGAGACTAGGTCTCTCACTGAACTTAGAGCTCACTAAATGGCTAGACTGACTGGCCAGGAGGCCCCAGGGATCTTCCTGCCTCTCTTTTCAGAGGTGGGACTGCAGGTGTGTCCCACTATACCTGGCTGACTCTTTAGGTGGGTGGACTCCAACCTCGGGTCTTCCTACTTACATGTCAAGCACTTTACCAACTGAGCCACTTCCTAGCCCCTTGGTCAACCTTTTACTCTTTATACAGTTTTGTTTTGTTTTGTTTTGTTTTGCAAAGAATGGAAGTTTTAGACCTTGTACATACAGTGATTTTAATAAAGGCCTAAGAGCTCTGACTGCATTGTTGGGCAGGCTATATGTAGGCCAAAGGCTCATGGAACCTGACTGGCAGATGGCAGAGCCATAGTCCCATGGGACGGGGTCCATAGAGAAAGGTTACAGATGTCCCTACAGGAAAGAGCAACACTTGCTGGCAGTATACTCACAGGCTCTAGTCTGTATGTATCCTGAACGTGTCATCCAAGGTGACCAGAACAGCCACTGGCAGCTTACAAAGGGTGCTAGGACTGTGAGCCTCTGGAAACACAGAGAATAAACATTCATGGTACTTATGACAGCAAGGAAAGTATAGGCATCTGTTGGGAAAACAAGGAATTAAAGCAGCCTGCTGGTGCAAGAGAGACTTCATCTGCTCCTTAGAAGTAGAGTATGTGAATCTATCTCTACCTAGTGGCAGCTCTGTGTCTGAATGAAGCTCGGTCCACTTCTCCGGAGCCTGTCCTGAGCTCTTGCCATCTCCATATGTAAATATTACATGTGTTCTGCCCCTCTTGAGACCCTGGGACCCTACAGAGAGGGATGGCATGAGCTCAGTCAGGCTTGCTGGTTCAATGAAAGTCATAGGTCAGTTTAGGAATGCAGTATAAGCCTTTGTAGTTTGGTCATCATGTGGAGCTAGACCTACCTAGCTAGGGGAGAAAGGCTTCTCTCAGGAGCCATAGGACTTCAGACAGAAGGGCCTCTCCTCCGTGATCACCCACAGGGACCCTCACCAGGCAATCTGTGATAGTCAGCAGGAAAAAAGGCACACATCATCCAGCCCTCCCTGGCACTCTCACCTGGCCTCCTTTCTAGCTCAGCCAGTTTGGCATCAATCAGTAGGCTCTTACCTAGTAAAGATGGAAATGGGGTGCAGCCCTCAGTCACCTGAATTGCCATGGGACTGCAGTTTGTTTCATTATCTACCCCACTTTGACTCCCAAGTCTTTGTGACAGGTGGGATAATTTCAGAAAGCAAGACTTAGATTGAAGTGTTCCTAAACCAAAGTGGACAGAGGTGATTCTTATCCAAGGCCAACATAATAACACCCCCATTACTGAGCATTTCTTGGATCATGTGAAGCTGCCCCTGAAGAGTCAGAATGAGCCAGAATGGACAAAGTAATGAGTGGCCTCAACACAGACTAAACAAGCACTCCATACAGAAGGCCCAGGAGGCATCTGACCACAGGGGTGGACAGTTCCTTCAAGCGAGCTACTTTGTGTCCCTCTGTGTATAGCTTCTATGCCAGGCAGCATCTAAAGGGGCTGGCAGGCTGAGCCTTCCTGGGCTCCTCTCAGTGACTGAAGGCCCCCTCAAGGATTCAGTGGGAGTGGAGGGGCTTCACTGACACCAGTCTCACTCCTGTAGATGGCTGAGATGGTATGGTCTTCTTTACTGTGGTCAATACACAAGAGTTGAGCTATATCCCCTGGCCAGACTCCCAGTTTCCTGCATATCTAACCTCAGCTTCCTGAGTCCCTGGCTGCCTCCCTGTGAGTTGGAATGCACGGCCTCAGAGGGCCCTAGTGGTCTTGCCACCTGTACTTCAAGGAGGACCGTCTCTTCCCTATCATGACCTCAGCTTTCCATGTGCTTGCTGACCCTGGGCACTGATGAAGGACAGAGAAGGTCTCTCACTGATCTCAGCTCCAGGGCCAGGTCAGAGGGCAGGGAGGATGCTCTGCGATCTCCAGCAAGGGACACACAAATCAATATTCAAAAAAGTTGAGGCTAGAGAGATGGTTTGGCAGTTAAGAGCACTTGTTGCTCTTGTAGAAGACTCAGATTCAGTTCCTAGAACCCATGTGGTACCTCCAGTTTCAGGGGCTCTGATGCCCTCTTCTGGCCTCCAAGGGCTTTGCATACACATGATGCAGTTACATACATGCAGGTAAAACACTCACACACACAAGTAAGTCACCAGTCACATCCCTATCCTATGAGTGTTTCTGTTGTGTCCTTTACATATCAGGGCTCCTGAATGTACCCCATGTAAGGCCATGTGTATGATTCCGCCCATTGTCTCTCCATCCTGTTCAAGTCAATTTGATCTCATGATGGTTTCTTTGAGAGTGCTTAAAGTACTGATCTTTGTCTGCTTTTAGAGTTAACGTTTTTTATTCCTTCATTTCCTTCTTTTCAGTAGTATATCATTTTAAATAAAACACTTTGATTTGAAATTTTAAAATAATTCCAAAAATGTATGACATTAATTGGGGGGGGGTATTTTGTTGTTGTTTATTTTTGGAGACGGGGTGGGGTTCTCACTTTGCAGCCAAAGCTGGCGTCAAACTCTAGGTGCTTTCCTCTCTCCATCTACAGTGTTAGGATTACAGACACATAATACAAAATTATAATTTTACTAGTAAAATTTTATTTTATACATAAAAGTAATTTCTATAACTAGTCTATCTTCACAGCTGGGGAAATCCTTGTCAATCACAGCATCTTAGGTCCTGGTTTCATAAATGTCTAGAGCACTCCTAGTCAAGAATGTGATTAGATCTCCTCAGCACTAAATATGGGACATCTAGACTTCCAAGCAGGATAGAACATGGGCTGTCAGGCTGTTTCATGATTTTTTTAAAAAGGCCACTGACATGTGTATGAACTGAGGCTTATTACACTAATTTCACTTAATTTTTAACAACCAAGGAAACCTGTGTGTATCATTCTGAGTGCATCAATCTCCAACCTGCCCCATGCCATTTGCAAAACTAAGCCCAGCATTCCAGCTTTCTGAGCCACTGTGAGTCTGGACACTGCCAAATGCCGAATTAGCTAGCCCATCCAACCTCATGCTCATCAGCACCACTGTCCAGTCTTAAGAATGAGGAGGAAGGGAGGCGGAGGAGGGGAAACGGAGGAGGGAGAGAGAAATATAGCAATAATAATAATAGTAATGAGAAGGGGATAGAAAAGGAAAGACAAAGGTAAAATAATAGCAAAGAGAACAAGGAAGAAAGAAAGATTTAGTAACAGTGAAGACTAAGGAGGAAGAAAAAGAGGAAGAGATGAACCTGCCGAAGAGCTCTGCCTGCTACCCAGGACCTCCAGGAAGGTCACCTTGTCACATACATCAAGCAAAGGTATGCAAGTAAGTCATGAAAAAAGAATGTCCTCCAAAGCTCCACCTCAAGCCCTACTCCGGCCTGCATCCACTTCATCTAGTTAAGATGGAAAACCCTATAGAAGGAAAACGATGTGACTCTAACATTGATTGTTCTTATTGGGTCCCCTCACCCCCGGCCTCCACACAAATGCACACATGTGCATGTGCATTTATATGCACGTATGCACACACATGAATATGCACACACCACATTTATTTGTGGGTTTGTGTTATATATTTGGGCACTTGCATGCCATGACATGCATATTGAGGTCAGAGGGCATATTGTGGAGGTCAGTTATCTCCTTCCACATGTGGGTTCTGGAGATCAAACTCATGCCCTCAGACTTGGGGACAAGTGCCTTTACCAGCTGAACCATCTTGCTAACCATGTCTCTCCTTCATGATTGCCTTTTTTGAGACAGTGTAGTCCTGGCTTGTCTGGAACTTGTTATGATGACATGTAAACCAGGCCTTGAACTCACAGAGATCCACCTGCCTCTGTCTCTGCATCTGCCTCTGCCTCTAGAGTGCTGAGATTTAGAGGCAGGCACCACCCAGCTCTCAGCTAGAGGTTGGCCTTCGTGAGTCTCTCAGCCATCCATGTTTTGGGATACCATTCTGCAAGCTCCCACCCAGGGATCGATGGCTTCATCTCTTTAGGATTCTCAAAGGTGGTACTTTCAGGTCAGCATCTGGTGGGAGTGGCTTACCTCATGAGCCATGAAGAGAAGTAGAAGAGATGGAGGTCTCACAGTCTCTTTGCAGGGCATGCCCCAATAAGGATTTCCCACTAGGCTACAGTTCTGCTACCCTGGGGACCAGACCTTTGGGTGAATATTCAACTAAACCACAGCATTCTGCATCAAAACTGTGAACTTAGGCCTTTTTTTTTAAGAAAAAAGACAAGTCATACACTGGAAGAAAATTGCAGCAACTGATAGAGGCTTAGTGTTCAGAATACATAATGTAAATGAACCAACAGGAAAAGATAAAACACCCCAATCAGAGAGGGAACACACACATACAGGCTCTTCACAGAGGAAACAAATGCCCAAGTCATGTGCACAGATGGCCAGTCCAGTCAGGAATTAATAAAATGCAGATTGAGGCCACAGTGAGATGTCTAGTCAGTAGGAAGGACTATAACACTACAGCCATAAGAAACACCCTGAAGGATGTGACAAGAACTCTAATGTGGTGATGGATCAAATAAGCTACATTTGATCAGTTTCAGTCTACTACTTATTTAAAGACAATGGCAAAAGAAAACACAAAAATTCTACAGATCCAAGGTTATCACTTGTCATTGTTATAGCGTACATATTTAGAATTATTAGAGGAAAGTGTTTGATCCTCAATGACATTCATGCACATTAAACCAAAGGAAAGTGATCAAGGTATTGCTAAACATGCTTCCCTTACAGTCAGATGGCTCCGAATCTCTCTGAATACAATTGTCTGGCACCATCTCCCCATACCACGCCTGTCTGTGCTGCTCCAAGAACTCTGACACAGCAGGGGAAACAGTCTGAGCCCACCCACACCCCTCTCTCTGAACCTCGGCAGCTTGGTGAAGCTCTGACCGGAGGATAGCAAGAATGGCACCGTGACTTGTGAGGTGATGTCATAAAGGGCTCCACAGTTTCAAATCACTCACTGCAGATATTCTATCTTGACACTCAGCCTCCATAAAGAAAGTCCACACAGCCACTGATGCTAAGAAGCCCAAGTCACAAGGAGAGGTCACAGGTTAGGGCTTGCTTCATGAACAGTTCCAGCTGAGTCTGACTTTGGAGATCCTCAGCCCAGGTGCCACAGGAGACAGTGAGGACGCTTCCAGACTATTCCAGTACCCATCATGCAAGTCCTTGAGCAGTGGCTCAAGACTTGCAAAGAGTCCAGGCCTGGGGACCCTCCCTTTCCGTCCTCCCTGACAGCCTGACTCATTTAACTTGAAAGCATAATAAAATGGTTCTGGGTTAAGCCATCAAGGTTGGGAAGCTTGTTCTGTGGCAGTGGGTAGCTGAACTGTTCCCAATCACAGAGGTCTTGGGCATAGCATAGTCTCCATCTTCTAGAACCAGACATTGCCTGACTGATTCCAGAACCCACAAATGACCTCCCATTTTCCACATATTGACCCCTTTGTGCCTGGGCCACCTCACCCACGGTGACCAGTGAACTCACTACCTTCTCAGTTAATACCTGAGTTCCTTTGGGTGGTCCCTAAGAATCTGTGAGGGGGCTGAGGTGGGGGACAAGGAGGCTTCATCTGACACCTCCGCAAAGGTCCTATGACTGCCACTCCTGTCAGCATGCAAAGGACAGGTCACAAAGTCACCATGTCAACCTTCCTGTCCATCATAACCCCAAAGTGTTCTGTCCCAGGGTGGGGGAAGGGCTTTGTAGGTAGTGGGTGGAGGGACACCCCAAAGCTGCTGCCTTCCCAGTCCCTGTGCTCTGAGCATACCAGGTGGAGTGCCTCATTGGTAGTAGGACAGGAGCTGGAGTCCTCAACCCCTGGGTACAGGCAGAGGTAGCAGGAGGCCAGAGGTGGCTGTCATTCACCCTATATGTGACCTTGCACCAGCGTCCAAGAGCTAGCCCGATCATAAGAACAGTTGAGACAGTGGGGTTCCCCAATCCCAGCATGCCCTGCTCTGCATTTTTTCTGCTACTGCTGCTGCTGCCTCCACCCATTTTTAGAGCCGGGAACTCCCGATACCACCGCCCTGGCTGGAGACTATTCCACCGTCTGGGCAAAGGCTTTAGAAGTTCCAACAGCCACCAGGTCCAACAAACTCGGCAGAATTTTCGCCAGGGGCAAGAAAGATCAAATTGTCAGGGTATTTTCGACCTCTACTTCGTGTTGGACAAGTGAGTTAAGCTCCTGCACTGTCACCAGGCAGCCCTTGGGGGATCATGGGTAGGTCAGCCTCTGCAGGAGGACGGGCCAGGTTACTGTGATCAGATGCCAGGCCACAAACCTCTGTGACTGACGTATTTTCTGAAGCAGGGAGGCCAAACACAGGTGGCTCTGTTCCCAGCACCTTGACCCTGGGTGATCATGCCCCTCACCCGAGGCCATTAGGAGCAGCCTTCTCAGTCACATGGGCAGCCACAAAGAGGCTCTGCAAAGATTGCCACGCCTGTGGGCACTCTCCCAGCCTTGCTGCTCAAAGTGGCCTTTGTTTAACTGCCTAAGGATTCAGCTTCTTCCTGCCTCCCAAGGAACACTATGGTTAGTCTCTCCGCTGTGAGGAGCCTGCTATGTCTGTGTGGTGGGTAGGCTGGGCTGGCTCTTACATTCCTGGCTGTCAGGGGAGAAAATGGAAACCGATCTGAGATAGGTGGCCTGGACTTTTTTCTCAACGCCTCTCACTGGACTGGGGTGGATTTTGTGCCCACTAAACCAAATCTGATGGGCTTCCCAGCCTTCCTTCCTCTGCACACTGGCACACTTCAAACATTCCGGGCTGCAGAGAAGTCCAGGGCTTTCCTACTGGTGTCCTGGGTGAGGTGCTCGCCTGTTTCATCTAAGTATCCAATTTCTTGGCTTATAAATGGTTGCAGTATGGACTTATTTAATTTCTATAAAATTGGCAGTGTTTATAACCTCATCTCCTGATTTTAGTCATTTGACTTGTATTTTTCTCTTTTATTTGATTACCTGTACATAATGTATTTGCATCATACTCCCATTATCCCACCTCATATCCCTCCCATTCCAACTGATCCCCTTTTCTTTCCTGCCTAGGGCACCTTCTACTTTCATGCCTTTAATTTTTTAATTTTTATTTTATGTGTATGAATGTTTTGTCTACATGTATGTAGTGTAGTACATGCATATAATGCCCTCAGAAGCCACAAGAGTATGTCAGATCACCTGGAACTGGAGTTATGGACAGTTGTTAGCCATTGTATGTGTGCTGGGAACAGAACCCATGTCCTCTGCAAGATCAGCTGATGCCCTTAACCACTGAGCCATCTCTCCAGCACCTCAAGTCTTGTTTTTAAATGACTCAGTGAGTTCTATTAGGTTGCTTATAGCGTCATGGGTGAGAAGTTGTTTATAGGAGCATAGGCACCTTACCAGTGGCTGTACCACTGAAGAGAATGTGTCCCCACTCCCAGCGACCATTAACTGCAATTAGATCTTGGAGGAATGAGGCCCCATGAGCTCCTCCCCCTTTCATGGCAGGGTGTTGATGGGCCCAAATCTTGTGGAGATCTTGTGAACGTAATCACAGCTGCTGTGAGTTCAAGAGTACAATAGCCACATCATGCCCAGAAATCAGTGTTCCATACCACTCCCCAACCCCTTTTTCAGCTCTTATATTTATCCTGCCCTTCTTCTATGATAGTTCCTGAACCTGGAGGACAGTGTTACAGATGCCTCACTTTTGTCTCAGAACTCAACAGTCACTTATTTTCATCACAGCGACCACTTATGTGCCTCTGCAGTTAGTGCTTTCTGCTCATTGCAAAAAGAAGGTTCTCTGACCAAGGTTTATAGTGGCAAAAATCAATGGGCATAAATGTAGTCATTTAGAAGATATAATGGACACATCATGCCCATTTAGCAAAACAACAGTAGCTTCCCCACTAAGGCCTACACTGTCTCAGCCTCTGGCTTCTGAATGGGTTTTACAGGATCAGGATCAGATGTGAATTCCCTGTTGTGGAATTCTGATTGAATGGGCCTCACATCCAACCACAAAACAATTGGTTACCCCATAGTAGATTTGCCTCTATTTCACAGGTTTGACTGGCCATTGGTAGTGTTGAATGCAGGTTCTACTGTTAAGTAAGAGTGTTGATGTCAATTTCCCCCAGCAGTCAGCATAGCACTTACCCCACTATGAGGGCTAGCCATCAAGGAGGAAGCTTCAAACCCAGGTCCTGCTTGATTTCTCTGTCTGATATCTTCAGTAGTAAGGTCTTAGCATCTAGTTTTTGTGGGCAACTAAGAGCAGTGGCAATTGCCTGTGTACCTTGGGGGCAGGGCTTAGGGGCCTCCCTGGCCAGTAATCCATAGAGGGATAGACCACCTTTAGCATGGGGCTCATCATTTAATAGCCTATGGCTCAGGCTATGAATGCATGCAGGGTATCTCCCTTTAAACTTACTTATTTTTGAAATTTGTATTTTCCCTTTTTTTTTTTTTTTGGTCTTTTTGAGATAGTAGCAGTCCCAGATGGCCTGGAACTCACTATGTAGACCAGGCTGGCCTTGAACTCAAAAGATCTGGCTGCCTCTGCCTTCTGAGTGCTGGGATTGAGGGTGTGCCTTCATGCCTGGCTTTATTTCACTTTTTAAATTTTTATTTTATGGATATGTGTGTATTACCTGCATGTAGGTAAGTGCACCCGTGTGTGTAATGCTCACAGAGGTCAGAAGAGCCTGTTGGATCCTCAGGGACTGGAGTTACAGTTGTTAGCTGCCATGTGGGTGCTAGGATTTGAACCCAGGTCTTCTGTAAGAACAACCTGTGTTCTCAACCACTCTCTCCAGCCCCTTATTTCACTTTTTAATTAGCTTACTAAGTATTAAATTTCCTTAAGGCTTTTTCACACATCATTAATTTAGGTTGACCCTCCCCTACCTACTCCCCTCCCCCACCCACCCCCACCTTTCCATTCTCAGTATTCTACTTCTTTCCCATTCCCTTCTATTTTCATGTCACATGGATACATAGGTTCCACTGCCCTCCCCTTAAAGCTTCCTTTTCCCCTCTTATGAGCCCCTTTACTTCCCAGGCTGTATACAAACTGTCCCATAGGGAGAGGCAAAGATTTCTTCCCATTCTGTATAATGTCTTCCCACTTGAATAGCTTTTCTATATAGAAGGTTTTAAGTTTATGAGATTCTAGCCTTGTATATATAAAATTAGAAACTAGGATCTACTATCTCACTTAACATAATATTTTTTCAATTTTCTCCATTTTCCTGCAAATGTGGAAGCACAGGGAGGAAACGGGCAGGTGGGTGGGAAAATGGAGGAGCAGGGGGCAAGTTAACCAAAACTAACGATATATGAAGAGGCCTTATGAAATCACAGTAGTTTGTAAGCCAAAAAAATTTTTAGTCTTTAGTTATTATTTTTATTTTATGTGTATGAGTGTATTTTTATTTTATGTGTGTGCTTATTGCCTGCATGTAGATAAGTGCATCCATGTCGTGCAATGCTCACGGAGGTCAGATAAGGGCATCAGATCCCCTGGAACTGTATGAGTTACAGATGGTTGTTAGCTCCTATGTTCTCTGGGTTTTCTGTAAGAATAGCCAGTGCTCTTAACCACTGAGCCATCTCTCCAGACCTCTAAAATTTTTTTTGAAGAGCTTAGACAAGAGGTAGCCCACACTGGTGAAGAACATGGGTTACTGGATGAAAATCTCAACACAGGTCATGGGTTACTTCTTATGAGTTATTGGTCAGAGAGGCCCTAGAAACACCCCAAACAATGCAGGCTTTTGTCATTGCTCTTAGCTGCCCACCATAACTAGGTGATAAGACCCTGTTGCTGAAGACACTATATACTTTGGTTGCAGGACACAGAGAAATCAATCTTGACCTGGCCAGGAAACTCTCTCCCTAATGACTGGCTTTAATAGTCCTGAAGTTATGCTGTGAGAGGAAAGGTATAAATTGCTTTACAGTGTTGGGCCCTGCATGCTATAATGCTCACCCGTCGGGCAAGCTGTTTCTACTGGTGCAATAGTGGCAAGACTGTTGATGGGGCTAACCATAATTTCAACTTTATGATGGAATAAAATTCCATTGTGTATATGTAACATGTTTTCATTAACCATTCCGTTGATGAACATCTGGACTAATTCTATTTCCTTGCTATTGTGACTAGAACAGTAATAACTAAGCATGTAGAAGGATACAGAATCCTTTGGATGTGTTCTAGCTTGCCTTCAATTGCTGTGACAAAACACTCTGACCAATAACAACTTGGGGAGGAAAGGGTTTATTTGGCTCACACATCCTAATCACAGTTCATCACTGAGGGAATCCAATATAGAACTCAGGGCAGGATCCTAGAGGCAGGAGCTGAAGCACAGGCCTTGGAGGAATGCCACTTACTAGGTTGGTCCTGCCCATGCTCAGCCTGCTTTTTTATATAATATAGAATAACCTGATGAAGGGTGGCACCGCCCAAAGTAGACTGGGCCCTCCCACATCACTCAAAAATCAAGAAAATACCCCACAGACATGGCCACAATCCAGTCCAATGGAGGCAAATCCCCAGCTGAGGCTCCCTCTACCCTGGTGTGTCAAGTTGACAACTAAAGCTGTCCAGCACAGGGTATACATTCAGAAGCAGTATCGCTGGGTCTTGTGGTGGTATTGTTTATTTTTTACTAATTTATTTATTTAGAAACCCCACACTGATTTCCTTAGCATCTGTACCAGTTTATGTTCTCACCAACAGTGAATAAGGACTCCCCTTTCTCCGTATCCTCTCCAGCATTTGCTTTCATTTGTTTCTTGATGATAACCATTCTAACTGGGGTGAAATGGAGTCTCAAAGCAGTTTTAATTGATGTTCCCCGATGGCTAAGGATGTTGAACACTTTTTAAAATACTGGTTGACCATTTATAGTTCCTTTTGAGAATTCTGTCTTCAGCTCCTTAGCCCACCTTTATTGTTGTTTGTTTTTTTTTTTGTTGTTGTTGTTGTTCATTAGGTTCTTTTAGTTCTTTGTCTACTCTCATGATTAATTCTCTATCATATGTACGCAAGCAAAGATTTTCTCCCATTTTGGAGCTGTCTTTTCACTCAATTAACTATTTCATTTTTCATTTGCTATTTAGAAGTTTTTTAATTTCATGAAATACCATTTGTTGATTGTTGGCTTTATTTACT